AGAAAATAGCGATAGCCGCCCATAGAGGGAACATGATAAGGGCCCCACACATCCGAATGAATAACATCAAAAAGAGAAGAACATCTTTTATTACTCGGTTTAAAAGAGTGTCTACAATGCTTTCCAAGTTCACAACCTTCACACTTCAACCTTAACAGACTCACAGACTCAAACAGTTTTGGAAAGGAATGCCATGGTGACTGGTGTTCAAGGATTCCCACCAGCGAAAATGAAGTTATTAGGAGGGCTTCAGTTCTTTATTTTTTTGGTTATTGTCCTCTAGCCTGTTCAAGGATGTTTCATTTAATAATTTGTATTCTAACAAGTGCTTGATAGGCTGATTGGGGCAGGCTCATTGTTTTTTAGGAGCTCTTGTATTTATGTTGTACAGTCACTGGTATACTGGGATTTTCCCAACAATACAAATACATTACCTTCTCAAAAAAAAATTCTTTTACATCCTTCTCTTCTTTAGTTTTCTTAATTATTTTTTTATTCCACATTCTTTAGTTTCCTTAAATGATTTATCCTATGTCTGATAAGTAAGATTCTTTTAAAAGCAAAAAGAAAAAAAGAAGTGAGGAAAAACATTGGGCTAACCTGAACCCAAGCCAACCTAACTCACTGTGACTCGCACCCCTACCATAAATGGGTTAAACTTGTTTATGTTTGTCTCTTGAATCTTATAAATCCCATTGTGCTTTTGTACAAAAACTCCATATTTTTTGTCACATATGTATGAAAATATACTTTACCTTTCTCAGTATATGTATATTTCTGAAAGCAATATAAATGTCATTTCATTATATAGCAAGAATACCTTCAGTCACCTGTCATTATTGCAATAGCACATGTACAAACTATGATTTATAACCAGTCATTTAAGGGTTCACTGAAGACTACAACATGTGAATCACAAGAAAACATTAATAACTATTTTGTCCAAAAGCATGGCAAGTTCCTTCACATAATAATTATTTTAACATCTTCAAATCTTGTGGAATTGAGATACTGTTTTCTTATCCTGATAGTATACCACAAAAAGACACCTATGGCATTTTTATTTCTCTTAGATTTACACTCAAATGCAACATGATGACAAAAGGGATTCAGAAAAAAGAGCATTTCAATCCTTGGAAATTCATTGCATCACTTAAAATAATTTCTCCCAGAAACAAGTGAGAGAAAACTACTTTTTTATCAACACTAAGTGGGTACAAACCCAAAGAACATTGATATCTACAAGAAGAAACATGATATCTGATATTCAGGAAACTCTTAACAACTACCTACTACGAAATCAAAGGGTACATACAAACCATGAGAATACCTGTAGAACTTTCAGAGTGGTTGCATAAGTAGAAGGTCTTCCAATACCAAGTTCCTCCAGCTTTTTAACCTTTTACATGTACTAGGGCAAAGGTCAAAAAACAAGCACCAATTGCAATGGCATAAAACAAAAGAAAACCATACATCTTCAGCAATGTCCAGTAGGTAAAGAAAAATGAGAAAAAAAAAAATATAACTGCCAGAATTAGTCATATAAAAGTTATAGGGAACGTACCAAGGAACCCTCAGAATAGCGTGGAGGAGGCTGTGTAAAGTGCTGCATAAGTCCTACCTTAACATGATGCAATGGATCTCCTGACTAACAAACAATTGAATTGACAAAGCACAGTAATCATCACTCTGCAGCATATATATGAGAAAGGACAAGAACCAAATAAATAATTCATAATGCAACAAACCTCCACAGAACTTTTTCTATCAGTAACAGGATCAAAGAGTTCAATCAATGCAAAAAATTAAAAACTTTTTTGCATTAAATCTAGATCATTAAGAAAAAAAGTATCAAAAGACAACCAACCATAATACCTGAGACCATATAGATTGAAGATTACTATAGATAACAAAACAATTTTACACTTAATAACAACTGAGGCCAGTCATCGGCAATGCTTCATCCTACCACAATGCAGTCTGCAGCGTGAATTCTTTCCACTCCAATGGCAGCATTAAGGCCATATCCAATTAATGAAGCTTTCATTTCAAGGTGAATAGATAGAAGAAACCACAATCAGGTCCCTACCTCCTTGATCTTCTTTGGTAATTTGGTTAAATAATGAAATAACAAGTTTCTTATAAGAGATCATCAAAAGAGGTAAAGAAACTTGGCACATGTAAAATAAAAGTTCAATCATGGTTTGTAGTACTGTTTCATGCATTCCAATATGGATAATGTGTATCCACAATGAGGAACTCTGTAGTATATCATGTTACATGAAGACGATGTATGCACATCATGTACATTTTTGTACAAAAATTTGTTTTCTTACATTATATAATAGCATAGCATGAAACCTAGTAATATGAGTATGTACTGACATAGCATACAAAGCAACACAGAAACAGGACCATATCAATAATGATCTCAACAAAGCCCTCCACAAACAAACTTAACCACGTTTATAATATCATAAATTATAAGAATGATTACTACCTTAAGAGAACAGAGGGCCTTAAAAGCTTCATTACGAGCATCATCACCATTACCATCCTCATTGCGGGTGATTATTGCAGTCTCCTCATCCTATAAAAGAAATTACATAATATAGAAGCTGAATGAATTTATAATAGGCTTCATGATAAAATTCAACTTAACAACATAAAATAACTGAACCAATAAACCATAAGCTTTAGGGTTTGAATTCAAAAAAAAAAAATCAAATTTATTTTAAACTCTAAGCTCAAATAACAGAACCAATAAACCATATTCAATCTCTGCATCCCCGGTCTTCATCTAAAAGTCGAGAGTGCAAAGGAAAAACCTTCTAATAAAAGCAGAAAGAAAAAGAAAAGATCAGAAGTAGAAAGATTACTCTAAGACATAGAAGGGGATTTAGAATTCAGTGGAAGAGGGGAAAGGAGGAAGGCTCCTAAGTGAGAAAGAGGGTGTCAAGAGGGTATCTTTTTACAACTGTGGTGATGAAGATCATTAGCTGGAATGTGAGAGGTTTAGGAACTGCAAAGAAAAGAAGGTTGATAAAGGATTTGCTGAGGGAAAGGCCAGATATTGTATTAATACAGGAAACCAAACTAACAGATTTAGATAGAAGGTGGTGGGTTAGAAGTGTGTGGAAAGCAAGAGGCGTGAATTGGTGCTCAACTCCCTCTAGGGGTATAGTTACTCTTTGGAGAGGATGTGGTAGAACCATTAGAGGAACAGATAGGTAGTTTTTCTGTCTCTTTGAAGTCCAAGATGGTGGAGGATGGTTTTACTTGGGTGTAAACCAATGTGTATGGGCCAAATAATTATAGAGAGAAAAATGAATTGTCGGAAGAGCTTCAAAGGATTCAAGGGTTATGGAAAGGTCCTTGGTGTTTAGGTGGGGATTTCAATGTAATAAGGTTCCTAAATGAGTCAAACAATCCCCAACAAGCTATCACAATTAGCATGAGGAAGTTCAATGATTTTATCAATAATTGTGATTTAAAGGAATTTCCTTTGATACAAGTCAACTTTACTTGGTCTAACTTTCAGGAGAACCCATCTTGCTCAAAATTAGATAGATTCCTTTTCAATGAAAGTTGGGAAGCACACTGGAGAGGTTTGGTGGCTAATGCTTTGCCTAGAGTTACCTCAGACCATTGCCCTATCGAGCTAGGCCAAGAAACTTTTGGTGATGGACCTAGACCTTTTAGGTTTGAGAACATGTGGCTAACACATTCAGACTTTGTGTCAAAGGTTGAGGAATGGTGGAGAGAAGAGATTAGGGGAGTGAAGTGGAAAGGGACGAGGTTCCATAAGAAATTAAAAAGTTTGAGATCTAAACTAAAAGATTGGAATAGGGAAGAGTTTGGTAGGGTGGAAGAGCTCAAAGCTAAATTGTCAACTCAAATTGAGGATCTAGACTCAAAGGAGTATCAAAGGATGATGAGTGGACAAGAAAGAGAGTTGAGATGGAAGTTGAAGAAAGAATTAGAAGATGTCGTTTTGAGGGAGGAAATCTCCTAGAGGCAAAAATCTAGGCATAAGTGGATCAAGGGGATGGGAATACCAAGTTTTTTCATGATATAGCCAATGAAAGGAGAAGCAAAAATTTGTGGCTAGGCTTGAGGTCGAGAGAGTGGAAATTGAGTCTCAAGAGGAGATAGCGAACTGTTTTGTAGCCCACTTTAGATCCATTTAGAGTAGACCTTTGGAGAGTCGAGAGAGAATGGAGGATCTGGATTGACCATGTTTATCTACCTTAGAGAAGGGCTGGCTGGAAAGAAACTTTGAAGAAGAGGAGATAAGGAAAGTTGTTTTCTCAATGGATAGATCCAAGGCGCCTAGACCTGATGGATTTACTATGGCCTTTTACTAAGACTGTTGGAATATTATCAAAGAAGACTTGTTTGAGGTTTTTAGGGAGTTTGAAAACAACCGTGTTATTAGTCGGGGGATAAACACTACCTTCCCAGCTCTTATCCCTAAGAGATTAGATGCAAAACATCCTAAAGATTTCAGGCCGATCGGTTTGGTGACCAACATATACAAGATTGTGGCAAAAGTGTTATCGGTGAGACTCAAAAAGGTTCTCCCCTCTCTCATTAATCAAGCTTAAGGAGCTTTCATACAGGGTAGACAAATTATAGATCAGATCCTCATAGCAAATGAATGTGTGAAGGAGATGGAGATCTGGCAATCAAGGCTTTGTTTGTAAGTTGGATATTGAGAAAGCCTATGACCTGGTGGACTGGAATTTTTTATTAGAAGTGTAAAGGAAATGTGGATTTGGAGACAAGTGATGTAGTTGGGTGAATGGTTGTATAACCTCTTGTCATTTTTCAGTTCTAGTTAATGGAAGGGTCAAGGATTTTTTTTCCCAGCTTGTAGAGGGTTAAGACAAGGTGATCCACTTTCACCTTTCTTGTTTACACTTGTGGCAGATGAGTTTAGCAGAATGACTTCTAAAGCAGGCAAGGAGGAGCTAATAAGTGGTTGGACGATAGGTAGAAATAATGTCCCAGTGACCCACCTTCAATTTGCAGATGATATTATCATTTCTTGCGAGGGGAGAGACCTAAGGAGAGTGAGGAACCTGAAATCTCTTATTAAATCCTTTTAAGTTTGCCTCCAACTTGTCAATCAACCTTGATAAAAGCTGAGTGGTGGGAATCAATTTGGAGGAGGGAGAGATAGAGGCTATTGCAGATTGCTTAGGATGTTCTTTGTCCCATTGGTCTTTGACCTATTTGGGGCTTCCTCTAGGAGCTAACCCCAAAGAAAGTCGATTTTGGTATCCAATTGTGGAAAAGTTTGAAAAGAGGTTGGTGTCCTGAAAGAAGAGTTATATTTCCATAGGGGGTAGAGTGACATTGATTGGGGCTACACTTGCTAGTCTAGCGATTTATTTTCTATAGGTATTCAGGATACCCTCAAGGGAAGCTAAGAAGTTAGAAAAACTAATGAGGGATTTTTTGTGAGAGCCAGGGGAAGTGAAGAAAGGCCATTTGATTTAGTGGGAGATAGTTAGCAGAAGCAAGGAAGAAGGGGGACTAGGACTAGGTAACTTAATTCATAAGAATGAAGCTCTGCTAGGGAAGTGGTTATGGAGATTGCCTTTGGAGAGGGAGCGACTATGGCACAAGGTGGTGACTAGTTCATGGCTGCTTGGAGAATGGATGGGATGTTGGGATATCTCGACGGGTGACCCTTACAACACCAATGGAAGGCTATACATAGGATTCTTCCCCATTTTCTTAGTCTGATCAGGTATGATGTCTACTCTGGAAATAATGTTCTTTTTTGGGAAGACCTTTGGATGGGAAACCAACCCCTTAAAGACCTTTTTCCATCTCTTTACTTTGTGTCCCGTTACAAGAAAGAGTCGATTTCCAAGTTTACCCTTCCTCGGTTTCTCCTTTTTCATTGAACTGGGATTTTGGTTTTCGAAGAGGGTTAAGTGATGATGAATACGCTTGTGTTTTGGAACTTTTGTCATCACTCGAGTCCACTTGTTTGGATTCCCCCAATTCTGATTTAAGAATTTGGACCCCTAACTCAAGAGGACGTTTTACTTGCTCCTCCTTTTTCAAATCCCTTTGCTCTTCTTCTGCACCCTTGGCTTTCCCAATTAAAGAAGTCTGGATCAGACCTATTCCCCCAAAGATTGTTGTTTTCTGTTGGGAAGTCTACTATGGTAAGATTAATACCTTTGAAAACCTACAGAGGAAAAGACCAAATTGGTGCCTATCTCCGAATTGGTGTGTCCTTTGTAAAGCTCAAAGTGAGGACTGTTACCACTTACTGATTTCTTGTTCCTTTGTTGCAGCCCTATGGGATTGGATTTTTGGGCAGTTTGAGAGTAGGTAACCTACCATCTGATATTAGTTTGTTGTTTAGTCTGTCTACTTTTGAGTGGCACAAAAAGAGTGAGAGAATTATATGAAAGGGTATTAGAGCAGCAATCATGTGAACTGTCTGGGAAGAAAAACACCAGAATTTTTTTCTGAAAAGGAAAGGATCGTGTCAGAAGTTAAGGACTGTGTTTTGACAAGGGCAATTCAGTGGTTGAAAACATTGAACCTGTTTGATAGTTATTCCTTCAATGACCTGTGGAGGAACTGGTTAGCAGTAGCCAATACTTCTACCAGGAAAAACAGACTTTTAGTACAATGGGAGCCACCTGGGAGGAGTTCGTTAAGCTGAATTTTGATGGGAGTAGCAGAGGTAACCCTGGACCCTCGGGTATAGCAGGAGTTCTGAGAAATAAAAACAGTATGATCATATCCTTATACTCAGGGCCCGTGGGTCTGGGAGACTCTATAAGGGCTGAATTGCTTGCTGCAGTACAAGGTATCCAGCTTGCAAACCAGTTAGGGATAGAGCATTTGCTTATTGAAGGGACTCTCAGGTGGTGGTGGGATGGCTGCTGAATCCGGACTCTGATTTGGGGCTATAGAGACCTCTTTAAAAAAGTCAAATGGCTAACAAGAAATATGACAGTTAGAGTCCAGTGGGTAGGCAGATCAGCAAACTCTATGGCTGATTCACTTGCTAAACAGGGGATTTCTCGGGACTCTTTATTTTGGGCTACCTTGTAATCATGTTCATCTGATCTTGTAATGCTGTAATCAATCTTAAAGGAAAGGTCGCATCTTGTGCCGTTCCTTGGGTCGCCTGTAACTCTTATTTTCTGGATTAATAAAATATTTATTCATTGATAAAAAAAAAGTCCCAACTATATGGGCTTGACTACATGAACCCTATTTTGCCATTCCATTCCGTTCAGTGCCATATCCATTATTTTTTTTTTTTTGGAAAATGGTAAAGTACTTTATTCATCTTAAAGAGGATATGGTAAATGCCATATCCATTATTAAATTATGGGTGCTAAAATCATTTCTTATTTTTGTTGGAAAACGTGGGGTTACTGGTGCAGATCTATATTTGGTAGTTGTGTAAAAATAGAATTGTATATATTCCGAGGATTGTGGAAGGATTGATTTAGAAAGTTTTTCTTTCTATTCTTGTACTTTCTATTTTCTTTTCTTTCTATTTTTCTACTTTCTATTTATTGCAGCAGCGTACTGTATAAATATGCC